GTGTGTGTGAGAGAGAGAGAGAGAGAGAGAGAGAGAGAGAGAGACGTGTGTGTGTGGGTTTGAGCATCAGGATGAAAGCTGGCTGACGTTGATGAGGTAAAGGACGAGTATCGACCTCACAGCATTCAGAGGCGTTCAGACGAGTGACTCCAGCATCTCCACATGTGAGGAGGATGAAAGGACAGAGAGACGTCACACACACACACTCAGATGATCATCCCTCCATCTCTTGAAGGTCAAGAATGACTGATCTTTGTGGTTCTTACTTTTTAAAATGTTATTGTGATCAGTGAGCGAGAATGAATCTCTATCAGCACAGGCTTGTTTGCATGAGAGCATCAGATGCTGCTGTTTTGGCTTCTTAATTGGCATATGGGTGTTCATTCCTGCATTCATGGGGTTATTCATTACATTTTGTCTTATGTTGATGATTCAGCAGCCTCACATCTATAAATAAAAGCACAACACAATCTATCCTGAAATACAGTTTATAAAGTCTAACCATCAAATTCCACAGAAACCTCCTGCACTCTATTTAAATACACTGATAAAAACTTTTGTAAAAACAATTTTATCTCACAAATTGCTTGTAAATTTCAAACAAACAGCAAGTAACACTTGAAGTAGAAAGCCTGCATTAGTATTTTCTTGTAAAACATACTCCAGTCATCTTTGTTGATTTAAAACTTGTTGAAATTATTTTTTTGCTTGACTTGCACTTTACCTGGTCTAATCTATATTCCCCTTCATTTTCAGTTTCTTGCACATTATTTGATTTCTTTATTGTCTGAACTAGATGTAAAGTATTGAAAATGATAATAATCACTCCAGTGAAGCTATATTAATTTCCCCAATAATGTGCCAAATTATAAATCCATTAAGCAACATATTACAAGTGCTTCTCCTCTCTTTCAAAAGTCAATAACTCAGTTTACTGATGCTGTCCTCACTATGCATGATTTTATGGTTAGTTTTATTTTATTATGTTATATAATATTCATAAATTTGTAATATTCTATATTTATTATTATTGCTATTTTATCATTGTTTTATCTTTTTGCAGCAAGGTTTTTCATACAAATAAGATGAACAGTGTTTATTCAATTGCATTTTAACTAACTTTTTAATGAACTTTTTCTTGTGCTGATTTTGATCTCATGTGAAAATATCAAAAGAACTGAAGGTCATTTCTCACACACACACACACACTCACACTCACACACACACACACACACAGTCGTTCCGTTCCTCTCAGGTGTTTGACTCAGATGTCTAGACAACTGATTACAGCAAATGAGAGGCAGACAGACACGATAACACACACACACACACACACTCTCACACACACACACACACACTCTCACACACACACACACACACTCTCACACACACACACACACACTCTCACACACACACACACACACTCTCACACACACACACACACACTCTCACACACACACACACACACTCTCACACACACACACACACACTCTCACACACACACACACACACTCTCACATACACACACACACACACACAGAGATTGCTGGAGTTTATCTGTGTACTCTGTGCACTCAGCATGAGTGTCAAATGAGCAAAACCATATTCACAAATGTTAGTATTTCAGTCACGTTTGGTTATCTGTGTTTAATGTCTCAGATTTGCTGACACATAATAAACCAAACAGATGAGAGACATGTCATCATGAACAGACGTCTGCTGTCATATCATGTGATTTGTTTGCTTCAGTTTGCAAATCATAAATATATGATATTTTTAAATGTTATAATTGATGTCACTTCTAGTATAGTTTTAGTTTTTTAGAGACCCTAAAAAACTACAATTTTAAGCAACATGTTTTATTGTCTGACCTTGGCATTCATTTCTGAAATTGTTTTATCATTTATGATTATGCATTTTCATAACACTGTTACCTTCTTATTGTTACAATTTATACAATTGGGACTTCATGATTTATTGTTTCTCATGTTTATATCATTAATCTATTTTTTTTCACATCTATTTTTTCACATTTAATTAAGTTGTTTTCATTTATTGTTTAGTAATAATATTTTAAAACTTGTAAATAAAGGTTTTATTAAAATCATGACCAAAGTATATCAAACAATACAATAAACGTTATATATATATATATATGTGTGTGTGTGTGTGAGTGTGAGTGTGTGTGTGAGTGTGAGTGTGTGTTTGAGTGTGTGTGTCTCACACT